AGACCCATGAGTGTGGCGGGTGCGCTGGGCCAGGATTGCCATGTCATCGTTGATCCGTCGCCTTATCTTCGTGATCCCTATTCTTGCTCCGCCTCCCCATCTGAATCCCTCCTTTTCCAATTTCTTACGGGAGGAAAAGGCTCTGTTGAAGACGGCTAGGCGACGGCGAACGCCACGCCGACTTCGCGCAACACACCGCAGAAGCAACCGAAACGTACAGGAAATTGACCCAGCCGTCGGTCTCAGCCACTGCAGTCGCGACAAACCATCCTCCTCCTCCTCCTCCTCCTCCTCCTCCTCCTCCTCCTCCTCCTCCTCGTCCTACTCCATGTCCCCAGCCCACGCAAGAAGGAAGAGGAAGAGAAAGGGGGCGATTGACTCAAGCGTCGCATTGATTCACCGAAACCTCCATCACATTCGCAACCTCGCGCCGCCACCCTGGAGATGATATGTAGCTCTGGGACTCCATCGGCCAGCATCTTCGGCGACGCCTCGCCGTCTTGCGAGAAAGAGACGTACCAGAATACCAGACAGACAGAGAAAGCAGTAGCACCGACAAGCTCGCCCACGCGGTGACCAGAGCACGGCTGTTTCAAGGGAGCCGAATGTTCCAAGGTATCGGACGATGCTGGTTCGTAAGAATATTGATCGCGCAGGCAATATATCACTGTCCGAGCGTCACGCTCAGAACGTGCAGCACCCCTCCCTCCAAAGTTGCGCATTGCACGATGCCGGATAACGCCGCCAAGACACGTGTGGAGCATCAACGAGTTGGCATCTTTGGCTGGTCCTCCTAACCCGTGGGCCGACCGGAGCATGCAGTGCTCCTCGGGCACTACCGTGCATCTCATGACCTGGGCTGCCAGGACCTCGGGCTCTCGATTCGAGACCTCGGCTTCGAGCTCCCAGGTCCGAGGGCGACGGGCCCCCCAAGGGGCCTTCGCCGAGATGTAGACCGCCTCATCTGTCAGCTCCATATGAATATCACACCTGGCGGCCAAAGGACGTCTCCGAAGTAATCACGGGCTCCTCTAGGACGCATCCGTTGAACACCTGTCTCGAGAACCGACTCCTGTCCTCGTTGGCTACTCCCCGACCCTTGCTGTCACCCTCACGGCCGCAGTAACCCTCTCTCGATGCAAATGCGGCAGCGGGTGATCTTCATCAGCTGCTCATTCGTCGAATAGCCGCGTCGCGTGGCTGCCCGCAAGTCTCGGGCACGTCCTCGATCCCGACCACGTCCCACACGACCTCAGTGCCGCCTGCTCTGGCCGCGGCTGCCTCCTGGTGGCCTGGGAGACCTGGGCGCCCCAGAGGAACACCTAGGGGAGGGCTTGGCTCCGACATGCACTCGATCACGACGAGCGGATTCCTGTTCTGCGAGCGCGCGTTGGCCAGCATCGCAGGGGCCTCGTGCCAGCCTGGCCTCTCGGAGGTGCAGGTCCTCGATCTCCGACAGGAGGACGGCCTCATCCACCTGCATGTCGTAGCTTTCGCAGTCCTACAACTGGAGATACGCTTCTGGACTGGGGCCCGCGGACCTCGCAGCTGCCATCATCACTCCTGCGCCCGGGCGCTCGGGCAAGAGACGCTATGAGTTCAACTGCCCGCGGGTGAGCGTTCCCTGGTCTCGCATGCCTTGAGCCGCGAGGCGGGCTCCTTCTTCAGGCGGTGTCGGTCGACTACGAGGCCGCAAAAGGCGGACCAAAGGTCGCTGTCTGCCTGTGGGCCTACCCTGTCACCCTGGCCAGTCAATCCTGCCGCTGCTGGACAATCCTGCGCAGCCAGCCTCGCAGTCCCTCGCGCCGCACTCGTGACCATCTCGCGCAGGGACTCCGCGGAGACGGGCTGGCTGGCTGGCTGGTGCGGCTGGCCGTCCGCCCGCTGGGGGGTCGAGCCTATGCCAGCGGCCGTCGAGCTCCCTGTCAAAAGGGCGAAATCGTCCTCTCTGGGGATCTGATTTGCCGTGGATCCCACGCCGCGAAGCCGGGTGAGAGCAAGGCCACAGCGGATGCGCACGAGCGACGTGCGATTGGCACGTCAAGGCCGTCCGCCGTCACCCCCGCGCCGCTACCAGCCGTGGCACCAGCAGGACACATCAAACTGAACCGAGAACATGATTACAACATTCAACACCCGAGAAACCCTCTCCAACCCCTCCTCCCCCACCCCCATCAAAGGACGAATCGCAGGAGCAGCAGGAGAAAGGGGAAGGAGAGCAGGAGGAGATGAGGAGACGGAGGAGCAGAAGGACCAGCAGGAGCAGAAACTGGACAAACACGACAATGAGGAGACGGAGGAGGAGGAGGAGCAGCGGCAGCAGCAGCAGGAAGAGCACGAGACGGGCAGGAGAAGCAGCAGCAGAGGAGCAGCAGCAGGAATAGTATAGAGAGGTCACGAGAAGGAGCAGCAAAGTATCCTTTTCGTCCTCCTGCTCATCCTCCTCCTCGTCATCACAATCCTGATCCTCATCCTCATACTCATCCTCATCATCATCCTCATCCTCTTCCTCCTCCTCCTCATCATTATTATCACCACCACCACCACAATCACCATCAACATCATCATCAGCATCATCATCATCACCATCAGCAACAGCAACAGCAACAGCAACATCATCAGCATCATCATCAGCAGTATCATCATCATCATCATCATCATCATCATCATCATCATCATCATCATCATCATCATCATCATCAGCGTCATCAGCGTCATAAGAATCATCATCGTCAGCATCATCATCCGCATGTTCATCCTCACCCTCATCATCATCACCATCATCATCATCATCATCATCGTCATCATCGTCATCATCATCATCATCATCATCATCATCATCATCATCATCATCATCCTCTTCATCATCATCATCACCATCATCATCATCATCGTCATCAGCATCGTCATCATCATCCTCATCCTCAGGTTAATTGTCATCCTCATCCTCATCATCATCATCATCATCACCATCATCATCCTCATCATCATCATCATCACCCTAATCATCATCCGCATCATCATCGTCGTCATCAGCATCATCGTAATCATCATCAGCATCATCAGCATCTAAATGATCATCATCATCAGCATCATCGCCACCACCATCATCATCATCTTCGTCATCGTCATCATCATCATCATCATCATCATCATCATCATCATCATCATCATCAGTTACAGCATCATCATCATGATCATCGCCATCATCATCATCAGCATCATCATCCTCATCATCATCATCATCATCATCATCATCATCATTATCATTAGCATCAGCATACTCATCCCCATCCTCATCATTATCATCATCACCATCATCATCAGCATCAGCATCAGCATCCTCATCATCAGCACCATCACCATCAGCACCATCACCATCATCCATAACCATCACCATATCACTATCACCACATCACCCTCACTATCATCATCACCACCACAATCATCATGACCATCATCATCATCACCATCATCATCATCATCATCATCATCATCATCATCATCATCATCATCATCATCATCCTCTTCATCATCATCATCATCATCATCAGCGTCATCAGCGTCATCATCATCATCATCATCATCATCATCATCATCATCATCATCATAATAATCGTCATCATCATCGTCATCATCGTCATCAGCGTCAGCATCAACATCATCATCTACATATTATACATTAGCATCGCCATCCATCAATATCATCACCACAACCACCATCATCATCATCATCATCATCATCATCATCATCATCATCATCATCATCATCATCAGCATCATCATCATCATCATCATCATCATCATCATCATCATCATCATCATCATCATCATCCTTGCCATCATCGTAGCAGGAGGCTCCCGTCCCTCGCCCTCGCCTTCTTCGTGAAGTCTGGGCCAGCCCACAGGGCAACACCAGGAGCGTGGAAGGTGACCAGGTAAGTGCCCTGCGGCGACCACTCCACCTGAGTTCGAGGAGAGAGGAGGGAGCGGAGTGCAGAGAGCAGGAGAAGATAGGCCCAGAAAAACCTAGCGGCAAATCCGCCGACCCCTGCTTGCTGGGGTGCAAAGGCTTGTGCGATGATTGACTCTCCCCCTCCCCCTGTCCCCCTCCTCTGGTGTCTGCTATCCGATTAGAGCGGAGGGGAAGCCTGGGAGGGGCCGGGGGAGGCCGCGGGGGGGGGCCGGGGGGGGGCGGCCGTAAGGGCTTCTGAACGCACCGCATTCCATCTGAGCTTGCGCAAGCTGGGCTCCAACACGCCAAAGAGGCCTCTAACACAACTAAGGTAGCCTCAAGACGGCCCAAGAAGCCTCCAAGATGCCACCAGACAGCTCCAAGAGGAACCCCAAGAGGGCCTCAAGAGGCCAGAATCGCACCAACTCTTCAGGAAAACTTGATTGTTTGCAGATTCACCCTTTGGTTTCAACAGCGACCAAAGCGGTCCAAGAGGCCCCCAAGATCGCTCCAGGACAGCCAGAAAAGGTCCCTAAGAGGGCCCCAACACGGCCCAAGAGAGCCCCAGAATGTGACGGTGCGCGTGTATCCCTAACATATCCTGTCCTACATCCCCTGCATGCTCATCATCACCTTCCTCTCCTGAGGCCCCGCGAGGCCACCTCGGGCCCCGTTGAGGCCCCTCGCCCGCCGCTGCCGTTTGGCTCTGGGGGCCTCCCAGGGCCCTTGACCACCTTACGGTCGCGCCAGCGCCGGGCGCCAGCGATCGGCCCGCCGCGCGGGCTGGTGAAAAAGATCGAGTGCAATACCCAACGCTGGCGCGGCTCCGCCAGTAAAAGCGGAGCCTGCTGCGGCAGGCGATCCACGGACCGCAACCTCGACGGCGTGGAGGACACCTTCGAGAAGCTCGACTGCGTCGGGCACAGTATCTCTGTGAGAGATTCGACTGCGTCGGGCATAACATCTACTTGAGAGAGTTCGACAGCGTCGGGCACGGCATCTATTCCGCGGAGTTCGACAGCGTCGGGCAGCACAGCACGTGGAGATGGCCTATCGGGAAAATGCTCCAGGCTGCGAGCCCCGGCACAATCTCATACCTGTCTGGGATGGGGCACCGCAGGGTTGGAGGCGCTACAGGGACGACGTTGAGATCTGGGCGCTTGGGACCAATCTGGAGGTCAACTACCGTGTGGCGGCCCGGCTGGTCTCGAGGCTTCGAGGGGCAGCTCGTCACGTCGGGCTCCGCATCCCTCGGGACCAGCTCCAGCCCCTCCCAGCTGTCGCGGAGGTGCGCGACGACGACGGCAACATCGTGGAGGAGGCTCAGCCGGCCGACGACATGCGAGGAATCAACAATGTGCTGGGGGCGCTGGAGGCCGCTTTAGGAGGCAAGTACGTTACCAGGCGCGGAGAGACCATGGCCGACTTCTTCAGGAGTGCTCACTACAATAGGAGGCCAGGGGAGCGCATGATGGACTATGTGGCACGCTTCGAAGAAGGCGTTCAGAAGTTCGATGACGACGGAGTGCGGTTTGCAGACCAGCATGACATCCTGGGCTGGTGGTTTCTAGAGAAGTGCTGCCTGTCCGCGGAGCGCCGTGAGCGCGTCGTTTCGCAGCTGCCCGACGACAAATACGCGTACCGCGACATCAAGACGATTGCGATCTGGATATTCCCCGACTTGCAAATTACAGAGGCCAGGAGGTCGCTACCGCAGCGACCGCACCAGCAGCGAGGCCATCGATGGTTCCCAGCAGGTAGTGGCTCTGGCGCAAGAGGAGTGAACGCTACCGAGCATGAGGAGCTCCACGGCGGCGACGACCAGGAGTTCTGCGACGAGCTCGGCGAGTACGACAAGTACGGCGAGGACGGCCACGAGGTCAACGAAGTAAAAATCTCCGAGATCCAGGGGTTCGTGCGACAGGAGCTCGAGGCCCTCACGACCGAGCTGGAAGACGCCGAGGTGGACCTCTCGGCTGACCAGACCGCGGCCCTGGAGGAAGCAGCGCTGCAGGTCTCCCAGCTGCCCGAGGCTCTCGGGGTGGTCAGAGACGCGCGCGGCAGGATCCAGGAGCGAGATGGTGGTGGCAAGTCCACGGGCAAGTCTCGCGGCCGATCGGCTGGACGTGGGGCTGCTGGGCCAGGCCGTGGTCCGCAAGGTGGCAGTGGTAAGGGCCGTGAGCTCGCGGAGAAGCTGAAGCAACGCAAGCCGAAGCCGACCTGCAAGGCCTGTGGGCTTCAAGGGCACTGGGCTGGAGACCCGGAGTGCAAGGCTCCGCGGGCTACCATGGTGACGGCGGGCGACGACTCGGACTCGGGTCACGACGCCATGGCCGTGGAGCAGGTGACTGGCAAGAAGCTGTTCGAGAAGCAGGTCCTCCGCAACGAGCTGGTGCACATGGTCAACGACCATCTCAGGGGCGTGGTTGACTCAGCGTGCGTCGTCTCCGTGATGGGCGACGTCTGGTGGGAGGCCTATTTCGGGGCGCTGAAGGCGATCGGGATCGACGACCTTGTCGAGCGCGAGCAGATCGACGAGAAAGTCAGGTTCGACGACGGCGGCACTCTGATGTCCTACGAGGCCTTCCGCTTCCCCACCTGATTCCTGGGCACGCCAGTCTTGGTCAGGGCCTGCGTCGTGAAGAGTGAGAAGCTCAACCTACAGTTAGGGCGAGACTTCCTGGAGGCGATCGGCTCTGGCATCGACGTGGCGCGCAGGATGCTCACCGTCCGCACGGGTTCCCAACCGCTGCTGGGCTCCGAGAACAGCCGCTTCGCGTTGGAGCTGAAGCCCGAAAAGTACAAGGCACTCTCCGAAGCGTATGCTGGCAAGGAGGAGCTCCTTGCCAAGCTGGGTCATCGTGCCCGGCCTGCGCCGCCCCCACGCGGTGGCATGGGCGCTCTGGTCCTGCAAGGCCTTCGCCATCGCCGCGACTACGCGCTGCGCCAAGGCTGGCGGGAACAACAAGGAGAGCCAGGAAATCGACCAGACCACTGGGGCCAGCGCGAAGGTCAGCTTCATTGAGCACACCGAGCCGGAGAGCGAGCCGAAGGACACCAACGATACGTGGCCATTGACATCATCGGGTCCTTCGGCCCTGGTCGCTCAGCTGCTTCAAGACCACCCACCTCTTCGAGTGCCAGGTATGTGACATGGGTGCGTGTACGTCGTGCCTCAGGGGCTGCAGTGCATGAGATGCTACCACGGCGTCGCGCCCGACACAACCGCGGTCGGGAACTGTGCTGGGTTCGCGATCCAGCATCAAGCGTGGAGACGGTTTCGAAGCGGCACAGCAGCTCAACACAAGGCGGGAAGCGACAAGCCAGTGCACTACACAAACACGGAGTTAGACCAGCCTTCGTGAAGAAGACGTTGGAGGCACACCATGGAATCAACGGCGTCGAGGGCTACCCAGAGCACTAAACCAAGCAAGCCAGGCACTATGGTCGAATACTGCTGCGAGCTGGGCCGCCTCACGGCAGAGGTCTGGACTGCTGCAGGTGGCAAAGCACATCGACTCGGATGTCAAGCTGACGATCTACGACGGCGTGAGCACTCCAAGAGGGCAGGTGACCTGTTGGAGACGTTCGCCAGAGCTGGAGGCGGACGTGCGGACGTACTGTGGGGCAGCCCACCCTGCAGCCCTTGGACGGCGCTCCAGAACTTTATGAAGAATAACGCCCGGCTGGCCATCGACCAGGGCGAAAGCAGGCACATGATCAAGTTGTTCATCGTGGAGGCCAAGCGGGCCCCAGAAGTTGGAGCGACCGTCACGTTCGAGCGGCCTGTGAACTGCAACGGCTGGAATGAGCCCGAGATCCTACAACTCAAAAGGTTGCTGCTCTTCGAGTGCGTGCTCGACGACTGCGCCTGCGGCCTGGAGAACGGCCAGACCGACAAGTCTGTCAGGAAACCCTGGAAGGTGCTCACCAGCCACCAGCCACCGCAAAAGCTTCTGAACTAAGATGCCCACAGGATCATGAACATCTCCAAGCACACGAGTTCAATAGAAGACGTCCAAAAAAAAGGCCTCTACACTCGGGCCTTGTGCAGAGCGGCGGTGAAGGGATTCCTGAGGGGTATCGCGGACGTCAATTACACCTTGGTCACGCTGCAGAATGATCCCGAGGGCGAGGGCATAGGGAAGGAGCCCAGAGATATCCTCGCGACTCTAGAGCCCGAGCACAGGATCACGTTGACAAGGGCCGTCACCAAGATGCACACCAACCTGGGGCATCTGGGCAATCGGCGTTTCGCCAGAACCATCCGCCTGGCAGGTGCGTCGAAGTACGCTATCGCATCTGCGCTGGTCCACAATTGCCCTACCTGCATCAAGCTGGCTTCGCCCTCGGCCACGGTGGCATCTTCGCTGAGGGATCGTTGAAGGAGTTTGGCGACTGCTTGGCCATCGACACTTTCGAGCTCGCCGACGCCCAGGGCGGCAGCAAGGTCTTCCTGAACCATATCTATATGGCATCTAAGTTCTAGATCGTCATCCCAGTCGCTTCCCGCAAGTGGACGATGATCTGGCAGGCCATGCTGGACTCCTGGTCGCTGACGCTGGGGGGTCCGAACTCGGTGATCGCAGACATGGGCGGCGAGTTCGAGCGCGAGGTCAAGGACGAGCTGGAGTGCATGGGCTCGAGGATCGTCTCGAGCGCATCCTACAGCCCGACGCAGAACGCTATCTGCGAGATGCACGGCCAGACGTGGAAGGCACACGCACGCGCCCAAATCTCCGATTTAGTTCTCACTTTCAAGAAGGATGATCAAATCACGTGGATGACGGCGGCGATCGACTACGCGGTGAACTCTGCAGTGGGGCCGGGTACTCACCCTCCCAGTGGGTATTGGGCCGCAGTATCAAACTACCCTACCAGCTTCTCAGCCAGCACGGCAACCTCAGACTACATCAAGGAATGCTAGACGACGGGGAGCCCAGCTTCAGGCAGCACGTGGGTCTACTTAGCGCTGCCAGGCGCTCTGTGGCGGCACTCGAGGCCAACCACAAGATCGGCGAGGCCTTCCTCGCCAAGAACAGGGCCGCCACCACGGCCCTGGCGGCAGCTACATACCAGGTCGACGACCAGGTGTTCTACTAGAAGGCCTTGCGAGGGCCCGCGCGATACGCAACTGGGCTGAGCGTTGGCACGGACCTGCAGTCGTCATCAGACATGAAGCTAACAGCCCATCAAGGCGTCGGCCCGACACGTTCGTGCTGCGGAGGTGTCGGAGCTCATCGATTGGAAGGATTTCGCGCGCGCGGTGGGGTCTAATGGCCAACCTGCTGCTAGACCAGCCTGGTGGTCACCGCCCGCCATGGAGGTCGACGATGAGACCCCACAAATGACGGAAAATCCGCCCGCCGATTTCAATCGCAATCAGACGTACCTGGACATGACCATCGACGAGCACGCCAGGACGCCCATGGACGTGGAGCAGCATCCAGCAATGGAAGAGATTCCATACCTGCCGCCGCCCTCTGACAAGCGCCAGCTACGCATCGACGTGGACCACCGACCTGGACCCTACGACCTTCCCGCAGCTCATGCTGGAGGGCCCTGCGTACCCGGCTGAGCCGCCAGAGCAGGTACCGCCTCTACCACCACAGCCGCCTCAGGAGCACGTGAGGTTCGAGCACCGCGGCTACTGCCGCAGCAGGCGGACGCACAGCATCAACAGCCTCAGCAGTATAACCGTCCTGAACTTGACCTTCCTGACCCTCCTGATCTCGATCCTCATATTCCCCATCCCCACGAGGACGAGGAGACGCCGCAGCCACCTCCACCTACTGAGCCACATCATCAGGAGGCCGCGGAGGAGGACGAGATTCAGCACCAGGACTTCCAGTGCCAGAACAACCACAAGCCAAGCGAGGTAAGGGGAAACGACGACGTGTTCCATGACGGCGAGGAGGAGAAGGACTGGTATAACAAGGAGTCCAACCGAGAAGAAGCGCCGGGTTCAGGTGGAGCGGCCACGTCAAACGCTGCACCGATATCAGATCCTACATATTTCAAGCCCGTCCGCTACGACCCCCTGCACGACGCGCCCTTATCCATCAAGCAAAGAAGGAGGCCAGGCAAACTGAAGTTCGAGAGCTGGACTGCTCAACGACAACCTGGGCAGCCTCAAGAGCAGGCCGCACGACACGCACTGGTAGATCAGGTCGAGGGAGTTCGAGGGTGCCGCCTGACCAGGGCCGCACGCTCGAGGGAGATCGACCTGGACACCATCTCTGAGGACGACATCAGGGAGCTCATGGCATCAATGGGGGACGAGTAGGAGAGGTGGGTCGCATTCGGAGCGGCACGGCGCTGCCCAGACCACGAGCTCAAGAAGCACCTGGCCAACGACGCGAAGGTGGTAGGCACGCGCTGGGTCGTCACGGCAAAGAATACGAAGCGACCCAAGTTCAAGTCCATGCTGATGGTCCAAGGCTGCCAGGAACGCTCGAGCTACATCGGGAGCGACGTCCCCACGGGATCCGTGGACGCGCTGATGGTTACCTTGGGCTTCATGGCCCAGAATGGCTGGACTGGATGCTCCTACAACGCGAAGTCCGCCTACTTGCAGGCCGAGGCCATCGACAGGCTGCCATCAGAATGCCAAAGCGTCATCCCACCGATCTGGAGAAGCTCTTCTACGCGCAGGGCTCCATCTACGGCACCAGGGACGCGGGCTGGGCTTGGTATGAGCATCTGAAGGCTTATCTCGAAAAGAAGGCTATCTTCGAGTCCAAGCTGGAGCGGCGGGGTCTACAGGAAGTACCTCAACGGCGACCTCAAGATGGTGATTCACAGTCAAGTGGGCGACCTGCTCGTCGCCAGGCAGACCGAGTGCACAGCGGTTGACGAGATCCTGGAGTAGATGGCGAAGTACTTGCACCTAGAGAGGCGTGATCGGGAGTTCGAGCACTGCGGCGCCCACATCAAGGATAACAAGAGCAGGATCCACGTCACCCAGGCCGGAGGCCATCAAAGCCGTTGAGCAGATCCCGCCGACTCCGGACAGGAAGAAGAACCAAGACGGTTCGGCAACCATGGAGAATGTGAGCGCATTCAGGAGCACTAACGGCCAGCTTCGGTGGCTTGCCCACCGCTCGAGACCTGACATCGCCTTCGAACGTAATAGACTGGCCCAGTGCACCTGGGACCCGAAGGTGAAGGACCTCATCGATACCAACAAGCTCGTCGAGCAGGTGGAGCATAACCTGGAGTACGGCCTGTTCTTCAGGAAGGGCGTTGTGGACATCAAGACGGCCATCGTCCTGGCCTGCGGGGACTCTTCCTTCGCCAACATGCCGGGCGAGAAGAGCCAGGCTGGTGCCGTCTTATGCTTGACCAATAGACCTCAGGAAATTGTGGACGGACGGTTTGACAAGCAGGTGCCATTGGTATGGGCGAGCTTCCGTGTGAAGAGGACTTTGAGGTCTACGTTGGCGGCCGAGGCCTACAGCATGAGCGAAGCTGTGGAGTACGGCTAGTTCTTGCGCCAGTTTCTCCAGGAGCTGCACTCGTTCCTGAACAGAAAGCTGAAGGAGATCGAGAGTTCGTCTACCTCAAGGCACATTCTCGTCCGGACCGATAGCGACAAGCTGAAGGTAATGATGAACAAACAACAGTCGTTCAGTCGCGTGCAAAAGGTAACGTATCGTGGTTTCTATGCTTCGCGAAGATGTACAATCTCAGGTGAATATGACGCTTGTTTGTACAAGAACTGAGGCCATGGTCACCGCTGGTTTGACTAAGAGTTTGGGATGCATTGCTATTTTGGTTGCGTTCTTCCGTTCCAAGAAGTTCGCGACTCCGCCCTCTCAGCGCAAGCGCCAGGCCGAGAGAGTCTGATTTCGTCCACTTCAAGTTCGGCGGCCCCCTGGAGGAGTTCTCAATAGGAGCTTTGACCAGGAGTGGATCGAGTACGGCTAGACCTCCGAACAATTCGACAAGAGTTGGAGTCCGCATTGCTATGCTTACTTCGAGTATCTCATCATCGGCGGCTAAGGCCCCAAGTACAGAAGACAGTGACGACATGTCCATGGAAGTTCTACTGGCATCCTGGCCTTGATAAGCATCAGAGTGATATACCTCATCTGGCACATGAGGGCGCTCAGTCAGGCGGTGAATCATGTGCGTGACGTGGATCTGCTCCCGCCTCTGATACATGAGCCTGGAATCGTTCGAGATATTCCTGCGCCACCATACGCGAGAAGCTGGCCGGTGAAGGGTATCAGTGGTATTCCTGTGAGCATCCAGGTCTCTGAGCAGACTTCCAGGTATCACAATTCAATGGGCGTGCAGATCACGAGGGACGAGGTCACCAAGGCTGCTGCTGGGGTGGCGTACTACGCGAGCCCAGAGTCTACTGGCGGCCGACTTCGAATGCATGGAGCCTTCTGCAGTTACAAGCAGGCAAGGTCGGCCACAGGAGCTGTGGCGGCAGCATCATCGTGCAGATGAACATCTATGGCGATGGAGGTTGCCAATTTCATATTCATGACGTTCATGGCGAGCGAATCGATTTAATGAAGTTGATTATATATACATCGAGCTTCTTTCGAATACAATGATTTGATGAAGCTTGGCAGTATTACTATCATGATGGTTCCGACGGCCCGAGCGAGTGCGACACGAGCTGGCAGGAAGGAGGAGCTGACAACGCGCGTGTATTCCTACCATCTCCTGTCCTACATCCCCTGCACGCACGTCATCGCATTCCTCTCCTGAGGCCCCTTGAGGCCACCTCGGGCCCCGCTGAGACCCCTTGACGGCCGCTGCCGTTTGGCTCTGGGGGCCTCCCAAGGCCCTTGACCAACTTCTGGTCGCGCCCGCGCCGGGCGCCAGCGACCGGCCCGCCGCGCGGGCTAGAGCAAACAATCGAATACATTACGACAGGTTCGTGTCGTGACGACCCCGACACTGGTTCTTGACACCGCGTGGATCGTTCAACCGTGAACGATCGGCGGCTTCTCGATCGCCAGGTCGCTCAACATTGGCCGATTCTGGGCCACTGGCGGCCTGGCGGCGTTCAACCTTGAACGCCCGCGGCAGCGTCGCTGCCGCGTCGGCACTTCACGAACCTACCGTACCCACCGCTGGCGCGGCTCCGCCAGAATGGCCGAAGAGACGCCGAAGACGGCCCAAGAGGGCCCCAAGCGAGCCTCTCGAGGGGCCCCAAAGGGGAACTCGAACTGACATTTCGAGCCCTCCGCCCCAAGAGGACTCCCGAGACCGCCAGCAGGCGCCCAACAGACCCCTAAGAGGCTGAAAGAGGCTCCAAAAAGGCCCGAAAAATATCCCAACGGTCCCCTCAAACGGTACCCAAGAGGCAATAGACCTCCCCCGTGGACTTCTTTTCTCCTCTGGGGGTCGGCGGAACGGCGTGAGCCACTTGAATGAAGACACTTGCCAGCGAGAACCCCAAGAGGGGGGCCTTGGCATTATCAATGTGCAATGTTTGTGGTTCAAGCTGCGCACCGTGCAAAAATGTGATGCGACATACGTGGCACAATGTACGCGATGAATTGTCTGAGGCGAAATCGATGAGATGCAAAATCTGTGGTGTAGCCTACGGGATTCCATTTACGTGGTGCCATAGATATATGTGTATAATATATATATATATATATATATATATATATATATGAAGCGCAGGCTACGTGGTGCAATATACCTGGCGCAAAATACGACAGGTTTGCGCTCCTGAGGGCCAGGTGCCTCCCGACCGGAATGTTGCGCAGGCACGGTGGTGGAATTGCCGGAGGCAGCTGGATGCATGCGATACAGCGTATGGGATGCAGTCCCGACGGTGCAACATACGAGGTGCAATGCATGCGATGCTAGCTGTGATGTCCAAAAATGTGGTGGAATCGAAGAGGCGCAGGGTTCGCGATGCAGTCTACGAGGTGCTAGCTTTATGGTGCAGATGAGGTGGCGCAACATGTGCTGTGCAATGTAGATTGCTGGCATCCGCGCGTGAACACCTCCACTGCCCGTGCAAACATTCACCCACCCACGGGCAACTTGTTCGCAAAACGTAGCCCGGCGACGACAACAACGATGACGACGAAGATATGCATAACGACGGTGATGACGACGTCGCCGACGACGACGACGATTGTGATGGTGATGAAGCGCAGCACACGAGGCGCTCACGAGCGCCCACGAGACGCCTACGAGCGCCGACCGGCCGAGAACGCGGGTGCGCCAGCCAATCACTTAGTAACGCAAGGAACTGTTTAGCGCAAGTTGTGCTCGCGGAACATCTGAATTTGATTGAAGCCTCCACCCCCTGACAAGCTTTGCTCGAATGCGAGCTTTGGGCCCAACACCCTCTGATATCTGGGGGAAGTGACAGGACGCTGACACGTCCCACCGAGCGTTGTCAGCTGCTGAGATGCTAAACCTCGAAAGCACTGCAACATCACATTCCCAGCCCAGCACGATAACTTGAAATGGTAGCTCTCACGGGCCCCACTTGCACAAATGGAAGAGGAAGAGGGCATGAGGTTGAGTTTGTTTTTACATGGACCTCCACTGACCAGCTGCTTGGCGAGTCAGAACAAAGGGGCCTGACCTTGGCGGTGACGAACGTAGGGCCGCAACCCCCAGGAGGCCAGGAAGACGGACCCAGGACCGACGCAGAACGCGGGCACACAGGGCCGACATACGAGCACAGCGGCGCAGAGACCAAGCCTCGGCTACACCCTGAGAGCGTGCGCCGTGCCAGTCGGGGCCGCCGCCGATGGAGCCGCCGCCGAGGGAGCAGCAGCAGGGGCAAGGAGGATATGGCGGCGCAGCACACCCAGGGAAGGCGACGAAGGCCACGCTGCCCTGGGTGCATTTTTAACGAGATCGTACCTTGCAGTTCGTTGTGCGCTTGAGCCAGCCGCGGCGCGCAGGAGAGCTAGGGAAGATGAAAAAATGCCAAGAGGCGACGAAGGCCACGCTCGAGGCAACTGCACCAGAGGAAGAAGGGCGAGGAATCTAGGAAGAATGCGCTTTCAACTTCTGCCCATTTCCCATAACGATTTTGTAACCCGACCCCAGGCCAACATCTCAGGCGCCCCTCACTCAAGACTCCTCACATCAGCAGGTAGTCTTCCACACCCCCCTTGACGAGGCCAATTTTCACAGCGCTGGCCGCCTCATGCCGACGAGCTCGAGCGCTCTCACGAATGCCGCCGAAAGCAGGGCCTTCGTGAACAGGTCACCCCGCTGTTCCTGGGACGGAGGTGAGAGACGTCGACACAAGCATCCTTGTCCTCGATCAGCTCGCAGAGGACTCCAAGGCTGCACCTGTGGGTCCGGCTCAGGTGCCGAAGGCGCTTGCTATAGCCCTTCTTCGCCGCGGCCACCGCCTGAGTGTTGTCTACCTGGCAGCGCAACAACAGACGCCTGCCCAACAAGACCTCGAAAAGCTTTTGAACTGAGAGCGCCTCCTGCCGCAACCCAGCAGAGAGCGAAACAGTCTCCGACTCCGCGCTGGAACTCGCGGTCGCTGTCTGCAGGGACGTTTTCCACACCAACGGGAAAGTGCGGCCACTTGTCGGCGAGTGCAGCTCGACGAACAAGCCACTCGGCCTCTTCGTGGTCGAAGCATCCCGGTTCCATTCCGCGTCGTGCCACACGTTGATCTCCAGGTCGGTCGCGTCCTCTGGCGCCAGGGTGCCCACTAACTCCAGGTCCGGCTCGCACTCCATGTATGCCATCAGGCGGACCAGGGCGAGATCCGCAGCAACCGACCAACAACTGATCTGCGTGCATAGTTTTTGGACGGCCGTAGTACAATCCGAGCGGCACACCCGCGCCGAGAAAAGAATGGCTGCGACGTAGCTGGCGCAATTTGCCTGGAACCGCCCACGACCCTCGGATGAATCAACCCACTCCGTGTCGGAAATGAACGGAGACGTCACTCGAGGTAGAAGCTCCCCGCACTCCTCCCTGAAGCGGCATGCCAACTTCTTGAGGTAGCCACTCATGCCCACTGCCAGCGATCGTGGTGCGCCAGGTGCTGCATCATTGAACTCGTCGAAGCGGTACATGGCTCCCAAGTAACGAAGGATAGGTGCAGCTTCTTCCTTGAAATGTATGTGCATACCAAGCTCACGCCCATACAAAAATGCATTATTCCTACTCGCTGCGAGCATGAAATCGTCAACACACAATGTGAATATCGAACCGTCTTCATGCGTAAATACGCCACACCAGCCCTCGACCTTGCTCCCCCCCATCCGCGTCTGGATACCAATCACGTTCTCCTCCCATGAGAGCCCCGACTTCGGATGCCCAGGAACAGCGTACCGCATACATACAGCAGGACGTCGAAAACGAAGCCGATTCCGATCGCCCTCCACGAACCAAGCATCAGGTCACCACTCCCTTGGCAGCTCGATCAACGTGACGGGCTCCCTCTCAGTGTCGCAACGCGTCTGCAAATAGACCTGGTACGCGTCCCTGCACGCGACGACCATGCCCTTGAGGATGGCGACGGCCAGGGCGCACCGTGCCACCGTCAGCGACGCTGGTGCGTTTGAAATCTCCTCGAACACCTCGTAGGGGGCACGGCCGCTTCTAAGTTTCACGTTGTTCCCGTGGAATGCTGTCCGTGCCCGGCACCGCGTATGCTCCAAGCTGAGCTCCGAGTTCTTCACGCCGAGAATCATGAACACTCTGCCGACCACCGCCTCCGGGATGCTAGAATCAGACATTCACCCGGAGAGTTCTCTCACCGACTCCAAGTCCCAAATGCCTCGGTCCCGGCGGGCGCCCAGCTCCTCCCAGACGGCATCGAGCGCCCCCTGGGACTTCGCCCCCTCGGACTTCGCAGCAGGCCCGCGGCGCTCCCTCACGCAACACACGCGCTGCTTGTTCGTCACCAGCGTCAGCGCCCTCCACAGAGATGCGGCTATCGCAACGTTGACGTCGTCCAGCGGAGCCCCCAGGAGATCCAATGCTCTCGACACGCGGGCGTGCGCGGTCACGATCCTCAAGCACTCATTCGTGGAAAGTTCGTTCTTTTCCCCGTCGACGCTCGACTCGGCGGCCGCGCCACCAGCGCGAGTGGGAATAACATGCTCTGCAACACCACATCGAAGTTGAACTCTGCCGTCCTCCCATAAACTGCCCTTCTCGGGCCACTCCCAAAAAAATGTCTCCTCAAGGCGTGAAGAGCGCATGCAGAGGTGGATCGCGGTGTCCACCATGGCCTCGCTGATCGGCGTGCCCCGTGTCTTGGCCTCCGTGCTGCCGTCGGCGCTCCTCTCCTTGCAATCGGATGAGGAAGGCAAGGATGCCCAGACGTGCACGTGGATCCCCAACACCCGGCAAAGGCGCAAAATCGACTGTAAGTCACGCTTCGATTCACCAGAGACCGAATCACCAGCAACAGTGGCGCAAATCGATACGCACCCCTCCGGCACGTCGTTGGACAGGGCGCAGGTGCCACCACAACTCAAACCAATTAAACGTAGTGTGAATTCGCCCTTCGTTAAAGTCTTGCGAAGCTCCGCCACCTCTAAGCCCAGCTTGGCACTCGGGCCCTGTTGCGCTCGCGGAGCGCTCATCCCGACAAGCGACGGGTTGCGGTTTTTTGCCACTCCCTGCGCAGAAGGTCTCGGATATGTCGGGGATATCCTACCCACGCCTCTGGCTCGCAAGTCGGTGGCCTCCCGAACCACGGCGGGACAGATACCGTCGCGGGCCCAAATTTGTCGATCCTCCACACAAGAGGGGGGGTGATCCCCCCTGGAAGACTGCAGTCTCACGATGAATCGCTTCCGCGCTACTCCTCTCCTCGCTGAGTTCTGGGTTCGCGAACTCGCGGGGCTCCTCGGGCGCCGCCTCCAGGACGAGCGCGTCCTCCTCGTGACGTCGGGATCCAGCGCCAACACTTCAAGCAGGTCGTCCTTAATCTCGAACTTCGACGCGTTCTCCTCCCAGGATCCGTCGCCGCAATCGCCCCCCTCCCACTCGTCTTCCTTCTCCTCCGCGAGTGCCCAGTCTTCGCCATCATCGGCAACTTTCGGTTGCGGTAACTTTTTGTCCTCGCACGCGCCGACCATGGCGAGGCGCTGGCGCAACGGGAACGTGATCGCATCCGGGAACACCACGTCGCAAGTCCGACGGATACCTGTAGCGGAAGCATGCTTGCGGCTCAAGAACCGGCGCAGCGGGACGACCCCATAGCAGCGTCCCCAAATGCCAGCGGGGCCGATCGTGACCTCCACAAGGAGACACGGAGTTTGGTTCCCACTTCCCCGTCGCCGCGGTTTTGCACCAGCCGTGGACTCCAGCTTAGCCAGGACCAAAGCTGCAAACGGATAACACTGATACGGAGTCTTTTCTTGATGACGTCGATGGCACGGCACGTAACCGTCCTTCCCAATCATGTAGCCGCTGCACATGGCTGTCCAATGTAGTAAAGCCACGGCCCACCACGCCTCCGACATCCCTCCCTGGATCAAGGCAGCACGCGTCCCGTCAGCAGCAATGCGATTAGTCCTCCTCTCTGCTCGCGGGGGGCGTCGGCACGGCATGCTCGTGAAACGGGCAATCGGCCACGTCGCCCTAACCGTCGTGGTCGCCGCGATTATCTCCGCACCCTTATCCGAGCAAATTCGTCTAACTACAGGTGGTACATCATCAGATCTATGAAGAGCTTCGATCACAACCTCCTCAGTTTTGGAGTCGGAGGGAAAGGCGCCGAGGAAGACCGTGATGTCGTCAGTGAACATCACAGTTCGTTGTGCCTTGCGGTGCGCTACGCTGCACCGCCGCATCTCTAGCCAATCTGCGTGCACCAGGGCTCCGAAGGGAGTCCTGGGCATCCTGGCTGGCCAGCGCGAAACAGACCTCCTTCCTCCTCCTCCTCTTTGACTCACGCGAATGCTTGCCCCAATCGCAACCGAAGCACCCCTTGATCTTCGGCAGGTGCAACGACAGGTGCTCAGCCGACAACGCGCGCTCGCAGGGGACGCAATCATATCCTTCCTCCTCCTCGGGGCAGACCTCCACCTTTACAAAATCGGACTCTCGTGAAATTATGTCTGACTGGTCGTCGCGTTCGGTCCGAGGTCCGTCGCCAAGCACGCGCCCGAGCTCGCCGAGGGCGTCGCCCTTGCTGCGCACGTCGTCGCCCGGAGCGACGTCTGAAACAGGGGGCGCGGCGGGGTCCAGCGGCGCGAGGTCGTCGACCACCGCGGGGGCGGCCATCTGAGAGAGGCCACCGTTTTTCTCGCCACGAGGTGCTACCACGAACGGCACGAAATTCGCGTCGACGTGGCACTCGATGGGCACGTTGCCCGGCGAGAACAGTTGTGGTTTAGCATGCCACGGAAACCAATAAAGACCAGAACCTCGTTCAGCACATCGCCTGCCCACTGAGAGCGCGTTCGGCGAGTGCTTCAAGAACACGGCGTCCACGGTCTCGCCCAGCGCCTGGATGTCCCTCTGCTCTGATGCATTCGGTTTGACGGTGCCACCCCCCGTCGAGACGGCAGACAACTCTCGGCGAACGATCTTCGACGCGTCGGCGATCGCACCAGTCACGTCCAAGCCAGCGCCCGCGTCCAGCACCCACTCGTCCACGACGACGTCGTCGTCGGCTGGCCACGAGGACAATACTATTCCAGCCATCTTCTCTACAAGAGCGGCGGGTCCAGCAGATCCAATTCGAGAATGGTCTGCTGCCAGGTCGCGACTGCACTTGCACTTCTTTCCGAAACGGCACTTGCCCTTGGCGAACAGGAGGCGCGGCTCCTTCGGCGCGCCCCTCTGGTTGTCGGCCTCGGGGACCTTCGGCTGCTGGGCGCGCTTGGCCATAGTGGCCTGTTTCGGCGGCGTCGGCCCACGCGCGTAGACGCACGCGTCGCCGAACATACAGCTACCCTTCACAATCCACTGGCACTGCTTCGCCACTTTCGGCCCCAGGGGCCCCGGCACACCAGGCGCCTTCGCAGTGGGGCCTGGCGGCCCCTTGACCTGCAGCGGGGCCACCTTCGCGGGCCCCAGCAAAGCATCCCTCGCGTCCGAGAGCCCGATCCAGATACCGCCGGGCAGCGTCGTAGAGAAATCGCGCGCCCCTCTCCTCCGAGCCCTCAGCCGCACGGTCGAACGTCACGGAATCTGGCGCCAAACCTTTGCACTTACGTAGCTGCGGCCCCGCAAGCGCCAAGAGCTAGTCTTCGTCTGGCCCCTTGTGAAACGACAACACAATCGCATGGAGGCCGTCCAAGTACCCGACAAGTCCCCGTCGAACTGGCGGGCCAACAACTGCGTGAGTTCAACCTGAGAAGCCTGGCCGCGCTTGACGACGCATTGCCGATACAAGTGCCACAAAGCCAACCTCCCTGACAGAACCGACCCGGCCATGTGGCAGCGCTCCTGGATGTTCAGAAGATCCCTCTCAAGCGATCCCGCGGCCATTCCGCGAACCGCGGAAGACAGCTCCGTGTCGAACGGCCCCCGCTTCCGCGGCGCAGTCTCGAGGAGTCTGGGGCCCTGACAACCCTGCGCCGCCTACAAGCACTTCATGGCGCGCTTCCTGCTGCGATGGCTCGCAGAACAACATGCCGCATATAGGTCCACATCCCAAGACCGGAAACTTCCAGCCAGCGGCATGGCTCCCAATTTGAACGTTTTCCCGCGAAGCTCCTCTCCCGACGACTCCGGGGAATCGTCGGCATCCAACGGGTAAAACTGCGGCTTCCCACAAACTCCAACCAAGGCGTTTTTCATGGCCTCCGTCTGCCGGGCCATCAGGGGCGAGCGAACGTCGCCCGCAGCACGGCCGCGGCCCTCGAAACGCAATCGCCCGGCATGGGATCGCCGAGTGCGAATCCAATTCCAGCTCCAGGGAGACGCGGAGCCAGAGCTCGCGACGCCGACTCCGCACGCCTTGCTGGAGGAGTGGAATCGGAGCGGCACGTCGCGCTGCCTCAGCGTCAGCCTTCCACTTGTTGGCCACCTGGGTCTCCACGGCCAACACGCCCCTCAGCTTTTCCGTCTCTGCGCTGGCATCCCCCGTGAAATCCACGACCCAAGCACCAATGCCCCCCTGATAACGTCGAGCCTGGCCAGCCTCAGCAAGCTTAGCTTCGCTGCCTAAGCTCGCCCGCGGCTCGCCCGCAGCCTTGGCCACGTCAGCTTCAGCAGCCACCGCCCCCGACAGCTCCGACGCAGAAGAGGCCAACTCCAACCTTAGAAGAGCCCCCCTCGCCCCAGCTATCCGGAAGAACTCCGAAGCCTCACTCAACGCGCAATTCAACTTCGTCTCCGCCGCCCGGGCGGAAGCCTGAGCAGCACGCCCCCCCGCCTCAACTTCGCGTCGGCCGTCGCGCGAATCCTTGCCACTTCAGCCTCGCAACTGCCGAGGCTGGCAGCACGTTCCGCACAAGACCGCTGGCATTGTTCTTCAGCGCGCGCCAGCCCCAGCCTGCGCGAGGCACGGGCCTCCTCTGCGAAGTCCTCGAAGCACGCCCGGCTAGTCGAAGCCAACTCGGCGACGCGGCCCTGGCACAGCAGGTCGCAGTACGACTGCAGGGCGGAGGTGGCCTCCGCCACGCCTCGCATCTCGCGCGCTTGACAAAAATGTGAAACACGGCCCTGGTAGAACGGGAGCTTGCGTTGAGAAGACTCCCGCAAGGCCTGCCCCTGAGCTGCGAAGCGGCCCTCGGCGGCCGCGATTACCCCCCTGCGCCCATGCTGGAGCGCGCGGAGCGCTACGGCAGCGCGCCCCTAGCTGCGCTCGGAATCGTGCGCCATCTCGCTGCGCAGTCGGTCTTCACGCAGTCGGACGGCCGCCGAAGCGTTCGCCTCCGCCTCGGCCTCCCAATCTCCCTCAAAACGGCCACTTTGCTCCTGCACGCGAGCCTCCTCCTCGGCGACGTCGATGACCCTGTCGAGCCCCATGGCCAGGTCAATGCCCATCGAGGTCGGTGTCGAACACAAGCACGGGATGCTGCTGAACAAGGTGTGGATGTTATTCATGCGGGGCGGCAATAGCAGCAATAAGCGCTGCCGGTTGCGAGCTGGACGCGTCGGGAAACCTCGGCAGGCTGAAAGGAAAATCCCGGAGGAAGTTGAGCGCGCGCCCTCGATGCCCTGCCGGGGGATCGAAATCTGGTCGCCGCAAGAACGCCGCGGCCAGTAGCATGCAGGTTGCGACGCGGATATTCAAGGGCCTGCGCCCCTCGCCCCGCTGCCGTTGCTTGTCCTTCCTATGCTTATGCGGCATCCACTGCAGAATACAGCAAGGCCCTTAACCTGAATGCGCGCCGCGCCAGTCGGCGCCGCCGCCGACGGAGCCGCCGCCCGGGGGGCAGCAGCAGGGGCAAGGAGGACACGGCGGCGCAGCACACCCAGGGAAGGCGACGAGGGCCACGCTGCCCTGGGCGCACTTTTTAACCAGATCGCACCTCGCAGTTCGCTGCGCGCCTGAGCCAGCCGCGGCGCGCAGGAGAGCTAGGGAAGATGAACAAAAAGCCCGGAGGCGACGAAGGCCACGCTCGAGGCAACTGCAGAGGAAGGAGGGCGAGGAATCTAGGAAGAATGCGCCTTCAAATTGAGCCAAATTTCCACGGCGATTTAGCAACCCGACCCCAGGCCAACATCTCAGGCGCCCAACGCACAAGACTCCCCACATCAGCAGGTCCCATTCCACAGCACCCGCTGTGGCACAAACGAATCTCGCGCGCGCAGCGCGCGAAAGGAGGGACCTGGGCGGCGACTGACGCGGACGCAGCGACAACCGCAGGACCGCAGAGAAACGCCCAATCGGAGTCCCCAGGATTGACCGAGGAGACGCGGGCAGCCACCAGGGGGAGCTTGTCCTTCTCGCGCGCAAGGGCCTCCCTTACGAGTCGGAGTCGGCTGACGAGTTGCTCTTCCTCGTCGGGACTGGGAGAAGCTCCCGCACCAGACACGAAACCTGATCCCGTCGATCGCCGCGTGGTCACGTGAGACTGCACACCAACGCCCGACTGAAAGGCCGACGACTCCGAGCATGGCCACGCTGCGACTGACGGGCCGGCGTCGCCCACTGCGTTGGTGAAGGCCGGGGGGAAATCCTGGCAAAGTCCCTCCAGCCGCCCAATGCGGCCTTCGCCGCTCTCTCCCGCCCCCGCGTCGCACGCTGCCTCGCCTCTCTGCGGGCAACGGTGCTGGCGCGGTTAGTCTTGACACGCGCAGGCTGATCCTCGGTCAGGGCTGGAAGAGGCGGCGGGGGAGGGTCATGGAAGAACCCGGGTGCTTCCGCGTCCCCATTTCAAAAACGCCCCATCGACTCAGCGCACGTCTCCCACTGCGGTGACTCCACCCCTCGCCGCCGCAATGGAGCTCGCGGCGCACATTCCCCCTCCGCGGGCACGCTTGTCACGCGCGCGACCAGACTGCGGAACGACACTCGCAAAATCGGGCTGCTGGCGGGGGAGGTCGGCACCCACTGAACTTCCCGCGGCAGTCGAGGGGGGAGGCCGCCCTGAGGTCGGTCGAAGGCATCGCCGGCCAACGCGCCCAACAGCCTGGGCGAGGCACCGAAAACGAAATCCCTCTGCCTTCGGCTGCGAAGGAGAACGTTGCATCGACAATACGCGCGGCAGCTGTCGCCTGCCGACTTTTAGGCCGACGGGAGGGCCTTCTCAAGAGCAGCCCCACTGAGGTCTAGCCTGGGCCATAGCGTGTAGCCGCGCCGCCAATCGACAGACTGCCCTCGCGACCATACCCCGATCCCCCTCCATCTATTCGGTAGGAGACGGGCGCACAAGACAGGCCAACCTTAGTTGCGGCGGCGGCCGCATCCTTGCCTGTTCTAGAAAACATGGTAATGAGTGAGGTCGGGCGAATCCTGCGCGTGGGCCTTGGCCATCACCAGGGACTCCCACGGGGCCCCGAAGGCAATGAACATGAAGCCAGCATAGGGCCTCTTGCGAAACGGCTGCCAATGCCCAGGGCCCCCAAAGGCGCGGTCCACATTAGGGCGGCCCGACCGAACTCTCGGGGGGCCTCGGACACGCTGAGACGAGGCCTCAGAGGCCCCAGACTCCCCCGAGTGCCAGTCTGGGGGAGGGGGGCCCACGCGGGCCCATGAACAGACACCGCCAGAGACCCCGCCTCGGAAGGCGCCGTGAAAGCCCAGCTCGCTTTGGGAAGCCTTCTGACCACATGCTTCTGATAACAGCCGTCCAGGAAATGCCCCCAGACACGACAATGTCGACGCTCTGGCCCGTCTGCCCAAGACACCACAAATCCCCCATCAGGCCGAGGACGGGGCCGCGCATCACCCGGGCGTGGAGAGATGCCCTCAGCACACAGCTCAATGAGCTCCGCGTTGGTCTGGCCTGATCCTGGATCTTTCTGGGGGCCGGATCATCACGGAGCTCCTGAACGAAAGCGCAGAGCCAAATCCGATGGAACATCGAATCGGGGGCGGCCAAACAGAGCCGGCAAATACTGCAATCGAACTGATAGCCGAGGGAGATCGAACGACCCTTCGGCCACGGCGCGCCACAGCTGAACCACCGAATGGAGCCCTTCTCCTGCGCCGTGCACATACAAGAGCGGAGCGCCGCCTCGATCACGCCGCAGCACGCGCGGCCCTCCAGGCCAAGAGCGCGACCCGAGTCACGCTGAAGTTTTGGGAAGGGGTCGCCCCGCCCCCCAGCGCGCGCTCGATCACGGTTGGAGAACACGCAGTGAGCCCGACGATATGTCCAAAATCGTTGGCGAGCTCAGTGAACTACCGCACGCTCCACTGAGCACGCTCGAGGGATAGGCGCGCGGCCCCAACGGGGCCGCGCACCTTGCGCCAGGAAAGATCAAGCCCAAACCAGACATGGCATCCCAAGAGGCCCTGAGAGCAAGGAGCCCCATCGGGCACCGAAAAACCCTGCACTGGTTGGCCTGCGCCTCAGTGGCAGATCGGACAACAGGGGGCACCGCCGCGCACAAGCACGGACCCCCTTCGAGAACGAGCAAGGGAGCGAGGCCACGCGCGCCAG